AGAGGTAGGTGTGCAAGCGGGTGAGCAGCTACCTTTTCCTCAGAGGTAAGTGTGCAAGCGGGTGAGCAGCTACCTTTTCCTCAGAGGTAAGCGTGCAAGCGGGTGAGCTACACCAGCAAACAGAAAACGGTCTGAAGGCATTATTGAAACCCAAACAGGATTGAGAAGATAAACCACCTCGACCAAGTGCTTTTGAAGAAGCTGGCTCTCCTGCAGTCCCCCTTCACTCAGAGCATGCGCCCGTCTGCATTTCAAGGTGTACTTTCACTGTGTGGGGGACCACGGAAGACCAACGCTGCCGGGGTAGCCAAGATCCCACCGGGAAGGGAACCCACGTCCGCACACACCATCTGTCCTGGCACTTGCTAAGTCCAGACCGGCACTGTGTGGCTGGGGTCTAAGGACCGTCACAAAGAGAACCTGCTCATGGTTATAAGGCGCAGCCGAAGACAGACCTGTCCCCAGCACACTTTCAAACTGGTGACTGGGGAAGGGCTGCACCCTAGGACTAAGGACAAAGGAGAGCCAGACCACCTCAGCAGCCGTGCGCTAGCCGCCTGCTGGGAAGCCAGAACTCAAGTCTCTGGAGGAGGGCAACCTAACTCAGAACCCTTCTAATGTTTTTCTCATACTCATCATAGGAAAAATTAGCAAGCACACTACACTGATGGGTGGTTCTGTCCACTTGACAGTCTAGAGCACCAGTTCTCAACCTGTGGGTTGTGATAGGGGGGTGGGGCTGGGGGTCAAATGACCCTCTCACAGGGGTCACCTAAAACCATCAGAAAACAGATATTTTCATTATGATTCACAACAGTAGCAAAATTACAGTTATGAAGCAGCAACAAAATAGTTTTATGGTTGGAGTCAGCACAGCATGAGGAACGGTATGAAAGGGTCGCAGCTTTGGGAAGGTTGAGAGCCACGGCTATAACGGAAGGGAAAGGGCTCATGGGCTCCCACACCTTCCTAAGGATTATACACAGCGATTGATGGGGGATGGAGAGACGTTTTCTTCAGTGACAAAGCCACCGGTACGGTGCACATACTTTTGGAAACAAACCCTTACCCATACCCTTAGAAGCAACCCAGTGAAAGCCACTGGGTCACTGCCTTGAAAAACAAAAAAACAAAAAACCATGAAAGTAGAAGGGGACAGGTTGGGAAAAGGGGGTGGGGGTGGGGACAAAGGGTAAGGGAGTACTACACAGACACATGAAAATGTCAGATGAAGCCCATCATGTGTAATTAACAGATGCTGGAAAAAAACACCAAAAAAGAAATAATATTAAGAAAAGGTGATTAAGTCTGGCAGTGGTGGTGCACACTTTTAATCCCAGCACTCGGGAGGCAGAGCTAGGTGGATCTCTGTGAGTTCGAAGCCAGCCTTGTCTACAGAGTGAGATCCAGGACAGGCACCAAAACTACAGAGAAATCCTGTCTTGAAAAAAAAGAAAGAAAGAGAGAGAGAGAGAGAGAGAGAGAGAGAGAGAGAGAGAGAGAG